AATATTATTATCTTTTAATTTTAAAAAATAGCTAATACATTCCAATGGGGATATATATAATCACAATATATATCCATCTTACCTACCCTCCACACCATTTCTACACACTTAGATACTCACTCTTTTGTTTCTTGTGATTCCTTTTAGTTCTTTTACATACAAATAAACAAATATGAAGAAATATTCTGATTCCTTGACTTTTAACATGGAAAGTAGCTACAATTAGGCACAAAGCATCCAGCTGTTCAGGCTGTGGTCTAGACAACCCCTAAGGGTTTGGGTCATACAGACTCTGATGTGAACAGGTCACTCTGATGTGTGTGGTAACCCTGCATTCTACATGCACTACTGTGCAACCTGTGTTTTTTTTAAATTAACTTGGAATTCCTTTCGTATTTTTACATAGCATACTAATTCTTTATATTTTTCACAGCTGTATGATATTCCATTTTATGAGTGGACCATATTTATTGACTCCTTTATTGATAGATATTTAAGTTGCTTCCTTTTTTTTGCTATAATGAAATCTTTATATGCATAGGTCACAATACACATGTACAAATATATCTGTAAGATAAATTTACAAAAATCAGAGTTTGTGTACACTTGCTATTTTCACAGAAAATGCCAAACTGCCCTCAGTTGGGGTTGTATTATTTACCATCCCATCAATAATAGTGTTTGTTACTCCAACATAATATACTACATCACTTAGATTTTTGACAGTTTTATTGATGAAAATGATATCAGTGTAGTCTAAGTGAGGCTGAGCATTTTTTTTAATGCTTTCAGAACATTTTATGTGAACTGTGTTTTCAAATCTTTTAACGATTTTTCAATTGTTGACTTTTTTCTGTCTAGGTTCTAGTTATTAAGTCCTAGGGAGATTATTCCTCTGTTTGCACTAAAAATTGCAAATATATATTCCTCCTTTTGTTTTTAGCTACAGAGTTTTTGGTTATGCAAAAGTTTGTGGCTAAATTTATCTTTTGTTTTATGATTTTTGATATAAGTCAAATGAAAGTTCTTCCCCACTCCAAAGTTACAAAGAACTTTCATATTTTCTTGTAGCAATTTTACAGTTTTATTCTAAAATCTTTGATCCATTTTGAATCCACTTAGTTTATGGTACGAGGTACAGATCTCTTTTATTTATTCTCCCCAAGATCACTCGGTTCTCTCAATCACATTTATTAAATAAACCTCCTTTTCCCCATGATTTGAAATGTAAACTTTATCATACACCAAATCTTGTGGGTATTTGGGTCTACCACTGTAGTTTTTTTTTTTCTTTTTTGGGGAGTGTGGGAGGTAATTAGGTTTGTTTATTTTAAAGGAGGTACTGGGGATTGAACACAGGACCTTGTGCATACTAGGCATGCACTCTACCACTGAGCTATATACCTTCCCACCGCCACCACTATACTTTTTATTCTGACCCATTTGTTAGTCTATGTATTCATGTATCAACACTATTCTTTTCTTTTATTTAATTGAAGTACAGTCATTGGCAACGTGTCAATTTCTGGTGTACCGCACAATGTCTCAGTCATGCATATACATATGTAAATTCATTTTCATATTCTTTTTCATTAAAGGTTATTACAAGATATTGAACATTGTCCCTTGTGCTATACAGAAGAAACTTTTTTAAAATCTATTTTTATATATAGCAACACTATTCTATTTTAATGATGGAGGCTTCATAATATGTTTTTATATCTGGTAAGACTAATCCCCCCCCCCATTGCTCTTATTCAGCCAAGTTTCCTTGGCTATTTTTGGTTATTTTTATACATTAATATCTAAATCTCCTTATCTTGTTTTAAAAAAAAGCTAATTGTTGGAGAATCATGTTAAATTTACAAATTGATTGAGCAAGTACTAGTATCTATCTTTTTGATGTTAAGTTTTCCTGTCAAGGGAGTAGGTATAGTTTTCCATTTGTTCAAGTTTTCCATACAGGTTTTACACATTTCTAATTTATTTAATTCCTAGGCATTTTAACACATTTTTTTTGCTATTAATTTAATGCCTTTTAAAACTCCTGTTATTTTGTAAAGAATAAAAACTGTTTTTGGAAAGCCCAGTAGTATCTTCTAGAAAACAATTTCTTTCACCCCAAATTCTACCATATCACTTAATTTCTTTATTTTTTAATGTTACTAATAAACTAGGTGAAGGATAAATAGGCACAATTCATATGTTAGATTTGGGCTGAAAATTCTGTAACAATATGTTGGTTTATATCCAAGTGCATCTTATTTAACACTTTGGTACACGTGCAGGGCTTATAGACAGTTAATTAGAAGACTTATTGAGCTATTATTACAAAGAACAAAGATTAAAATAATACTTCTGGAATAGACTCATAAAAGCTGTATAAGCAAAGCCTACTTCCCATCCTCCCTTGACAAGATGTTTTTATTTTTACTTCAAAGTTCTTTTTTTTTTTTTTGATTGGGAGGTAATTAGGCTTATTTATTTATTTATTGGAGATACTGCGGATTGAACCCAGGACCTTGTGCCTGCCAAGCATGCACTCTACAGTTGAGCTATACCCTCCCACCCTACTTCAA